CAATGTGTATGTAATATCACTGATACAGAGTTCAGCATCTCAAAGACAGGGATGAGGAGGAAGGGAGTTTAGGGTAAATCACTACAGAATCCTACTTTTGTTCTATTTTGAAGGGAGGACCGTAAAGTTCCTGGTGCTGGTGTTTTACTCGTTATCCAGAGTGACAAGCATGACAAGTTAACGTAAACATTTACCTTCAGAGTAGAGACTGAAAAAAAATCAAACTAAGCTTTGGTAGGTTGGCTGGCGACCAGCCAGAGAAAGACATGTAATATTATCACAATTATGCAGCATTTTAGCCACCTAATGCACAAGGAGGTCTAACAATCCATTCAAATATACTTTGCCGATGTGTTTTATTCATATCAGATACACATAGTGAAAGTAACAATAAAGTTGAATCTATTCTTCTCTAAGTTCACCAGCTACTTACTGGCATGTTTTTGGGGAGTAGCTTATAAATTTACCTGCTGAATCCTGCGTGTCCTACTTTTATTGAGGCAAGCGTGCGGCCGCAAGTAAACATGGCGACGCCCATCTCACGTTATAGATCACGATCACTTACAAGTTTATGTGAATTTTAATATCCAGTCGCTGATGACATAAGCAAACATGTGAATGTTGCAATAAAACGGGGGAAAAAAACTAAATTAACGAGATACATCTGTCATACAGGGCTATTGTGGCTGCGGTGTGTCACGTGACAAACATGGCGCATCGCCACGGAAACGTTCAGGGTGAATGGTCGCCCAAAAAATCACTCCTGGTTCCAGAATATTTTAAACCCACTAGCAAAAAGGTTAATAACAGAAGGTAAAGTGGCGGTGGTAGAGTTACTTTGCACTTTGCAAGACTAAAGTTTTTATTCACTCGTCTTTTTTGGTCATTCATTGTTCCATCTGTTGTTGTCATGTATAGCTGCACTTTCTTCCTTTTTTCTTTCTTTCTTTCTTTCTTTTAGAGAGATTATATCTTATTAAGATTGTTTTTCTTACCGCACTGGCAAATAATTTTGCTTGTTTTTTTGCTGGTTTTTTTCATCTTGATTTAAGATATTTTTAGATATTTGGATTGAAAACAGGACAAAACTACTTAGTTAATTTTATTTTATTATTATTATAACAGGTCATGGGTGAGCTTTTTTCAATAAAGGGTTGGAAATGAATGATTTTCTTGGGTTTTTTTATCCGATAAATCGATCAATAGAAGAAATAATCGACAGATTAATAGATTATTAAAATAATGGTTAGTTGCAGCCCTAAACCAATGAAAGCTGTTAAATCTTCTTTTTGTAATGTAACAATGAAGGAATATCATGGTTTTCTTCTTCATGGATATTTGTAGTTTCCATCTAAGAGTGCCCTCTGGCCTTTGGAGGACATTACTAATCACACAGCGGTGGACCAAGATGTGACCAAGATCTTATGGTGTAAAGTAACAAATTACAAATACTCAAATTACTGTAATTAAGTAGTTTTTCTTAGGAACTGTAATTTACTAAGTAAGTCATTTACTCGACTTCACTCCACTCCATTCCTTCAGTCGGTACTTTTACTCCACTCCTTCAACCTGCAGTCACTACTTTATTTTTTCTTGTCTATAGGGATTAGAAAATTCAGTCTTGCAATTCTAGTCCAACCCAATCGCACATTGATATTAAATCGCATCATACTGAACCACTTTAAGATTTGCAGTAAACTGTTTTTAAGCATTAAATTGTCAATGAAGATACTTTACAGCAATGACCCAGAGACTATTTAGACTGCATATCACTGATGAAAAGTTGATGAATGTTTACTGTGTGATGACCGAAATGGCCTTAAACAATAACTAACTGCAGTACTGAATGTTGCTTTCACACAAATGGACAAATTACATTTAAACGCATCAGCCTTCACAGCGTAATACTCACTACTCTTGAGTACTTTTAAAAGGGCTACTTTTTACTCATACTTTGTGTAATATGTACAACAGATACTTTAACTCGCACTGCATTTTTGATTAACTAATGGTAGTTTTACTTGTGTGATTTTTCAGTACTCTTTTCTTTACAGCCGAGATTGTGTTTGCAGTTTAATTTTAATTAATCATTATGCCTATAAGTGTAGGTGATTAGATGAACACATCATGCATTGCAAGCTACTTAAAGGCTCTAGTGTTATATATTGTGAACTGCTATCAGGTTTTTTCCTGAATGGACCTGTAAAGCAAACACTTAATTGTACAATAGAGACTTAATTAAGAAAAGTTTCTGTCGCTTAAAAACTCAGTTCCTTTATATTTTACTGCTGTTAAATGCTAATTAAAAGTACATCTGCATATACTAAAACAATTAAAGAGACCATCAGTCTGCTGAAGTGCACAGACATTGCTCCTTAAATAAAGCAACACATCACATTAATGGAATTCAGACAACTGTCAAACCAACCTCAGGCTCTGCTCTTCAGACAATGCTACACTAACTCAGGTTGAGATAACCTGGGAGTCGGTTTCTGCACCCTTAAAGAAAAACACACAAGTGTAACATTTATGAATTTTTTTGTGATTACATACAGTTGAAGTCAGATTATTAGCCCTATTTTTTCCCCATTTTCTGTTTAACAGAGAGAATATTTTTTTTAACACATAAACATAATAGTTTTATTAACTCATTTCTAATAACTGATTTATTTTATCTTTGCCATGATGACAGTAAATAATATTTTACTAGATATTTTTCAAGACACTTCTATACAACTTAAAGTGACATTTAAAGGCTGAACTAGGTTAATTAGGTTAACTATGCAGGTGAGGGTAATTAGGCAAGTTATTCTATAACGATGGTTTGTTCTGTAGACTATCGAGAAAAAATATAGCTTAAAGGGGCTAATATTTTTGTCCTTAAAATGAAAAAAAACTGCTTTTAATCTAGCCGAAATACAACAAATAAGACTTTCTCCAGAAGAGAAAATATTATCAGACACACTATAAAAAATTTCCTTGCTCTGTTAATTATCATTTGGGAAATATTAAAAACATAAAATCAAATAAAAGGGGGGCTAATAATTCTGACTTTAACTTATGTATAAAATATTTGAAAATACATATTTTGTAAGCCTTGGTGGTTTTGAGACATTATCAAACAAAAAGCAATGTAATCACATTCACATTTCCACACGTCTGTATTTGTTTCACATGAAAATGTTCCAAAACTACTGTTAATTTTTTAACATGTGAAGCTTATGGTTTTTTCTTTAGGATTAGGATTTAAAATGAGCCTTGGAGGGTTTTCAATCTGCACTACGGTAGTTTTCTATCTGCAGTAGTCCTTTTACACCCTGCTAATGGGATTCCCGAGTTGTCTGGTTGCACGTTTCACACCGCTCATACTAATTAATCTTGACTATTCATGAGCTGAAATCCTGGGCTCTTATTTGCATATTTGCTGTGTCAGTGTCATTGATTGGACATAAACAGCACGCGACTGGTTTACATAACCACTCTTAACATTGCGCATTCTTGTAATACACAATACAGGGCGAGTTTTTCCAGATGTAACTTTGCTTGGACTGTAAAGATGAAACTGTCTGTACTTCACGCCGGTGCTAGTTTTACAGTACATCTTTTATATACAGTACAACTTGAATGTAGTCAATAATAATTTCATGACTGTCCCGAATGTGAATATCACAATTGGCTGTTGATTGTTTGCTAAGCATCAGATCATTTTAACAACACATGCTGTATATTTTTGGCACAATGCGATGTTAAAGTAATAGTTCATTAAAAAATGTACCAGCATAATTTACTCACCAGATGAACACCGAATACATTGTAAACAATTTTGGGGTTTTGTGGATTTGTGTTGGAGCAACATAAAAAAAATGTGAAAGAACTTAACAAATTTAAATGGGTTGAACATAAAACCTCAAGAATTGTGTTGTTTCAGCTCATTTTAAATGAGTAGTATAAACAAACAGCAAACATAATTTTTTCATTTTAATGTGTAGTTAAAATTTGCACCGGTTTGTTTGCATTTGCATTTTTAAGTTTCTAAAAGTATTTTACTCTTGCAATCACTTTCACATATGTTTACCTGTCTTACACTACTAGTCAAAGGTTTGGGGTTTTTAAATAAGACTCTCCTGCTCACCAAGGCTACATTTATTTAATCAAAAATACAGAACAAATTGTAAAATTGAGAAATATTATTGCACTATAAAATAAATGTTCAAAATTTAATTTAATAGTTTATTCCAGTGAATTTTAAAGATTAATTTTGAGCTTCATTACTTCAGTTTTCAGTCACATGAGTCTTCAGGAATCACTCTAATATTAATTATTGTTTTTATTATTATTATTTTAAAGTCTTTTAAAAATAATTTTGGTGCATTGATTTAGTCAATAATATCATTGAAAAGGTCATAATTTGCATTAAATAATTATTCATAGAGCTGTATTTTACATTCTTTGGAGATACAAAACACAACAAATTTCAGCACAGTGACTTTCTTAGCACTTTATTCTGTGAAACACAAAATAATAATTTTTTTAAGAACCATTGACAAATATAGTGGAACAAACCACTCAAGAATTCAATGGTTAAATTATTTTTAGCTTTCCTAAAAGTATCTTCTTTTGTGTTCGGCAGATGTAAGAAACTCAACTGGTTTGGAACAAGTAAAGAGTGAGTGATGATGCCAGAATTTTAAATTTAGGGTGAACTATTCTTTTAAGCGGACGGTATACTAATACTGGAATGACTGCTGGTTGGCACTTAATTATAAAGTTAGAATACAGCATGTAGAAAAAGTGTTACCAAATGTTTCCTAATTTTATATACAGCATCTACTCTCCAAGACTATTTGGTAATAAATGTAATAATATGCTTCAAACCATCTGGGTAATGCAAGGGATTATTTTGCAATAACAAGTGGCTGTGCATTAGCTAACATTAAATACCATAGTGTGACCTTATTGTATAGTGTTCCTGACAGATCAAATTGTTCTGAAAATTGCAGGGGTGCCGCGGCTGGTGTCTGGGGGCCGATGGGATTGTCTGACTGCGGGGGATTCATGCTCCAGCGATGAAGCGTGCAGCCCGCGTTTGAGAACCCTGCGGCAGTGCGTTGCAGGCGGAGGAAGCGTCAAGCTGGGTCCAGGAGCACGAAACCACTGCGAGAACGCCGTTACAGCCCTCATGTCCAGTCCCCTACACAGATGCCAATGCAAACGGGGTATGAAGAGAGAGAAGAACTGTCTTAGTATTTACTGGAGCCTCAAGCAATCCATACTGCACGGTGAGAGCCAATCCATATTCATCATTTCCTTTTGTCACATACAAAGCACTCGCTCACAAAATGATGCAATTACAAGTTCTAATACCCACACCCACACGGTCCCCGGGAACCACTTCAATGGATGCTAATTAGTCGCTGTGTTTTAATACGCTAACCAGTTTAGCATTATAGAAGCATTACTTCAAACTGAACTTTTACCTGAGACAGTCTCATTAATTCACATACGCACGCAAAATACTCTGTTACCATAGCCACCAAATCCTTGTTTGTGTGTGTGTGTGTGTGTGTTTACAGGGCTGAGCTTGGTGGAGAATTACCCCTACGAGCCTGTTGAGCGGGGTTTTGATTATGTTCGCCTGGCCTCCATTGCTGCAGGTCAGTGATTTGCACAGACACACTATGCCGATTATGTGCTATGATGTTGGAACAGATATTTGGAACTGATCACGATGTGTTTTGTCACTTCTGTGCCAAGCATTAGCAGTGAAGAGTTATTAATAGGGCAGAGCTTAATAGCTTACAACAGCAAAACATGAGCGCTTTGTTTAATGTACTTGGCTATAGCATAGTTGAGTTCATCGGCACGGCTGACGATAAACTGCATTTCCTACGATACAAGGCATGCATTAGGGACCTGTCAAGAGCAGAACAAACATTTCATTGTGGGCCAGAGATTTTCTGGTTGGACCCAGCAAAGACGACTAAACTGTCGGATGTTTCTTTTGTAATCAAGGCTTTTCGCTCCTGGCTCTCTCATCTCTCTCCCATCTCATTACATTGACTCAAAATAGCAGTGTACCAAGTTTAGAAACTTATTTGTGAAGGAGCCACACCACTAAAGCTGTCAGTCTGTCAGCCTCAGTTTATGGGGTGCTTAAGGCATGAGCGGAATTTTATGGACCCCGAGGGCAGCACATAATGATCCATTTACTCATCATCTCTCTAGTGCACATACACACTCACAGGCACACTTGAGTCCTGGCAGACACACATAAAATAACATTTAAACACTTGGGGATAGGACGGAGAACGATTTCTTCAAAGTAATGAAAGTAATGTCGGTCATTCATGCATGACTTTTAATGATGGCTGCTCTAAACTCAAACACTGCGAGTGTTTAACAGGCTGCCTCGCATAATAACAACAAAAAGATAAAGAAACAGTAAAAAAAAATGAGTAGTTAATTAAATATATTTTTTTTATCTTAATGACCTTGTAACAGAAAGTACTGGCAGTCACATTAAAAGGCTCACTTATACAAATATGTACTTTAGAATTTTTATTTTCTCTGTATGTATGTGTTTTTATTTTTATTATATCAATTTCCTATTATATTTGTCACGTGGCATGCGTCTTTTTTGAATGTACTATACTAAATAAAACTAGCCTTGAAAAAAAAATTATATATATATATATATATATATATATATATATATATATATATATATATATATATATAAACATTTTGAGGGATGTAAACAATAACAATGGTTCTAACCTATTTCCAGTATTACTTTTTTAACTTCCAAAGCTTTCAAGAATCCTAAAATGTCCACATATTGATAAAAACTGTTATGGCTGCTGTTTTAATATTAAGCTAAGACTAAATTGCCTCTTGTTACAATTGTGAAACAGATTGACAACAAGAAGGACATGTTTATGGGCCAGTAACAATGCCACATTAAAATGGTCTATTATATGTATAGGTGTGTGTGTGTGTGTGTGTGTGTGTGTGTGTGTGTGTGTGTGTGTGTGTGTGTGTGTGTGTGTGTGTGTGTGAGAGAGAGAACAGAAAGGCTCTAATAATAGTTTGATTTAGTTACAGCAATCTCTGATGTACTTACATCTAAAATCTGCAATATAATGAGCACCAGAGTCCAGAATATTGGCTCAGTATTGATCAGAAGCTTGCAAAATCCTTTAATGATGGATGAGAAAGTCATCTCGCCAAAACAGACTGAGCTGAAATATCCCTTGAATGTGAAAGAAGGAAGAGAGGAAAGAAGCAAGTTGGGATGGAAGGATGAAAGAAGTAGAGAAAAATATGAACATATACTGTATATGGAAAGGAGAAAAGAAAGATCTTAAATAAACATAAAGGGAGGAAAGCTTCAGCCTTTATTTTCATATTTCGTTATTAATGAGAAATAAAGAGAAAGTCCCAAATCTCTTTATTTGTTTAAAACAACATTGAAAACATAATTAAAAAAGATATTTTCTATCTTTTCAAAGGTCAAGCATATACAGTAGAGTACAAAAGCTCTAAATCAACTCTACACCAACCCAAAAAAACTAACTATTTTCTTCTTCCAAACATAATACATTGTAAGGCTACATATGTTTATAAACTCTTCAAAATTATTGGTAGGCTTAAGAAAATCAAAATCAATTCTTTTTTAATAATTTGACACACTGTGAGAAAAGAAAGAAAGCAAGCAAGCAATCAAGCTATTGTATTAATGAAGATAAAAGAAAGGGAGAAAAGGAGAGTAAGATTTTTTTCAGCATTTAACAAAAAAATGACTTGCATAAATGCTTGCATAAATCTTGCTCTTTGTGTGATGTCATTATCAACTTCCAAAGTTCAGTTCCAAAACTCACGAGCGAAGGATGCATCAAAGTTTCTGGATGTGTTCTTGATATCAAGGACACATCAATGCAGACTTGAGTGCAAAACTTGCTTGAAGTCTCAGAAGTCATTGCGACTGGAGGTGGAAAGCGCGCCGTTTATATAAATTTATTATTAAAATTCTGAGATATAACTTTATCTTAAGTGTTTCCCTAAATGAGACAGTGAAAGTAAACATTACCATGAAAATCTTTATAAAGTTCTTTATAAAGAAATGACTATTAAATATAGTTTTATTTGTATTTTGCAACATATATTTATAATGTATTTATGCGTAGCGTATATATACTGTATATTGAATAGGGGAATAAACAATAAATCATTGTATGAATGCTGTAATGTTGAAATAGTTTTTCAATTAAAAATGAGTGAAGGTCATGTGACTATCAGGAAGAACCAGGGAAGAACGCTACGGTTACTAAAGTAACCCTCGTTCCCCAAGGGGGGGAACGGAAAAGCTATGTGGAAAACCTTCCACTTATGGGTTTTCATCAGAAACCAATCATCTGAAAGAATATAAAATTGGGCCAATGAAATGCTAAATGAATTTGCAGCGTCAGCATGCACAGCTGGCGTCAATGACAATCAGTCAAGTACATAAGACGCGGCTAGTGCAATGCTCGACATCCTTTTGAGCTGAGGAGACTTTCACGCTCAACAGCTAAGGGACAATCGTTGTGGCGAAGGTACATAGCATCCACTCGCAAGACAGGGGCGGACGCAGGACTGGGCCTGGTGAAATACACGCCCGTGAACTTGGGAAGCCGTTTCGCGTTCTGTATCTCATAGCCGAGTCTGATCGAACGGATGAGCCATTGCGACAGGCTGGCCCGCGCTAACCAGGCAGGCAGAGCCCCCGCAAGTGAACCCGCACGATTGCTGACATGCCATCGGTGAGGCAGCGTGGAGTGGGTGGGCTCGCCCGGGGAGCGCTGGGGTCCCGCGGGAGAGCGAGAGGCGAGAGATTCGCTCTGGTCTCGCACCCAAACTCCGGAGGAGGGGCTGCGAGAGGGAAACAAAGGAGACGGTTCTCTTGCACTCTGTAAGCCATTGGCGAAATGCACTGATCCTGCAAGCTGGAAAGCACTGCCAAACTGGCAGTGTTTAGGCTGTCACATCCGAGGAAAGAGGAAAAAGCTCTTTGAAGATTTGATGGCGTTTTTTTTTTTTTTTCGCCGTTAAATGAAAAGCCCCACCCTCCAGTGGGGAAAGAGCAAATTCCCTTCTCTCTGGATGGCCCGTCTCAGGGATGCTTCGCGGTCCGTTTACCACCCTGGGGCGGAGGGCGCTGATTGCCTGTGTGATGCTCGGCGCAGCTGCTTGGCCGGAGGCACAGGTGGGGCGGCTGAGCAAAAGCTACAGACGAGCACCCTCTGCGAAAATCAGTGGATGTGGATGGCTTGGTGGGACGGAGTGGTCTTACGATCCCGCCGATTGATTATAACCCATCGCCTCCTACTGCTCCATCACCGGCGTGAACTCCTGGGCGAGTTCACTGACGGTGTCGCCGAACAGGTCAGCCTGGGATATGGGTGAGTTAAGAAAGCAAACTTTGTCAACATTACACACATGACCAGATTTAGCCTGAGGTGGCGTTCCTGGACACTAAAGTGGTCATCGTCCTTCCCAGGGTGCGGAGCTCATGCCAAGTCCTGGGTTGGAATCATCCTCGCCGCAGCTGGGCCAGCGCCTGCGCTTGGTAGCGCTGGTAGGTGGCCATAGCATGCAAGGTGAGGGTGGAGGCGCACGCAGAACACTGCGTAAGCCAACTGTGCGCATCCAGGAAGAAAGGTTTTTACACCCCTCTAGTCGGTCCGGGGAAGCACGGCTACAAAATCTGCTTCTAGATTCGATACCGCGCTCATCAACCCGGAGGGAGGAGCGGGTTCGAATCCTCAGACATTGACAGCCCACCCTCCAAGGATGGTGAGGATGGAAGCGCACGCAGATCGGGCAGAAAAAAAAGTGCCCTCAAAACTGCGTGAGCTTACTGTGCACGTCCGGGAAGAAGAGGAAGGAAGGCCTTGAATCCTCCACATAACACCCATCTAGTCGGTCCGGTCGTGGGGCTGGGGGATAAACCATCACCAGGCCCACGGCCGAAGCAGCCCGGGAAAGCACGGCCATCATGCCTGCTTTTTAGATGCCAACGCCATGCTCTCCACCCCGTAGGGAGGGAGGGAGGGAGCAAGCGGGTTCGCATCCTCATCAGACAATGACAGCCCATCCTCCGATGCAGCAATGGACATCTGATCATTGGTGTCATCAAGTGAGAGAGCGACTATCCGAATAGGGAGCGCTACTCTCACCTGAAGCTTGGATGGAGCGCGTGGAGGAGCGAGAGGTCTGCAGCCCGAAGGCGGCGGATTTACTCCCACTGAAATCCTCAGATCTGCCCGAGTGCCAACCGCACCGCGATCTTAACTTCGCAGCAGACATGACATCAAAGAGATGGCATGCACTGCCCGCGAGCCCAGAATTAGCATGCTGGACCCCCAGACATGAAACGTAGTGCTCGTGCCCATCATCCGGGGATAGGAAACCACCGCATCCAGAAACGCACGGTCGGAGCAACGTCTTGAAAAAGACGCGCTGCAAAACCGTGTTGCTCTTTTAGGAATCTTTTTCCCTATATACAAACCGCTCTTGGAGGACCGGACCCAAAAAACGCCAGGCAAGGGAGAAAACCCAGCTCAACCGTCTGCCACTACGTATACGCGCTCTGGACCGGGAGAAGCTGCTTCTCGATCTCTGTCTGTAAACTCAGGTAGGAGAACCCTCAAAGACTCTCTCAGAAGCTAGTGAAAGGCTCTGAAAGCGAAAATGATGTCGAGCAATGCACTAGCCGCGTCTTATATACTTGACTGATTGTCATTGACGCCAGCTGTGCATGCTGACGTTGCCATTTCATTTGGCATTTCATTGGCCTGATTTTATACTCTTTCAGATGATTGGTTTCTGACGAAAACCCATAAGTGGAAGGTTTTCCACATAACATTAAAGTTTCCCATCCGAAGGGGAACACCAACTTATCTAGCATATGTTTTACGCAGCGCATGCCCTTCCAGCTGCAACCCAACACTGGGAAACACCCACACACTCTTGCATTCACACACATACACTACGAACAATTTAGTTTATTCAATTCTCTCTAAAATACATGTCTTTGGACTGGAGGCAACCGGAGCACCCAGAGCAAACCCACGCCAACACTGAGAAAACATGCAAACTTTACAAAGAAATCCAACTGACCCAGCCAGGACTCGAAACAACGACCTTCTTGATGTGAGACAATTGTGCTCACGCACAGCACTACAGTTACACCATTTTTGCTTTTTTCAAAATAAAAATTAACAAAGTAAGAGAGCAATACGGAAAGGAAAAAGAGGAAGAAATGGACGAAAGACAAAGGAAGAATAGAAAGTGGGAAATGAGTGAAAAGGAGTGGAGGCATGCAATGCTAACAATTCAAAGCATTCAATGAGGTATAAAAAGATGGAGAAATGAATGTAGTGTAGAAAGAAAGGAATGATAATGATAAGCACTAGAGTAAGGTCAAAAAATTCGAGACCAGGATAGAAGACAGGGCAAAAGAGGAAAGGGGGCAAAAGGAAAAGACACAATGGAAAGTAATCACAGAGGGGGGAATGGAAGGATGCAAATAAAATGAGGGAAAATAAATTATGAAAAGAATAATAGGAAACATGTGAGAAGGAAGGAAGGAAAAACAGGAAGGAAGAATGAAGGAAAAAAACAAAAAGGTAGCAAAGAAAGACATGAATACAGACCATAATGGATGAAAAAAAAGTAGGGCATACTAATAGATGTAGAGGAGGTGAGAAAAAAGATGACTATGTGGAGGCTAGTGGTTAAAGTCCATGGCTCATGAACGAGAGTGAGAGAGAGAGAGAGAGAGAGAGAAAGAGAGAAAGGAGAGAAAGAGAGAAAGGAGAGTTAAAGTGAGCTCTATGGCAGTGTAATGCTGGCAGGCTCTCTGCGGCCCACATTAGTCTGATATAAAAAATGAAGAAGTAGCATCAGGCAGTCTCAGCTGGGACCTGCTCTGTGATAGAGACCAGATTCATTCAACTTTTATTCTTACTCATGCTCTATTCATTAGCAGCACACACGGGCCACCCAGACTCGCATCCACTTAAAGCAGACCAGCTCAAACCTTCATTAGGACATGAGAGAAAGAGACATTCAGTGTGAACCTCAACCCTCATTAGAACAATGAGCAAGAGCGCACCTCAACAACTCACACCTCTCTGACAGCTGGACTAGCCTGTCGCAGAAATCAGTCTGGGACGATATGTACATCTTCCCTTAGCCTAATAATTAGAAGATGCATTGGATGACATTAGTTGTTATAAATAGCATTATACAGGATTTGCGTCTGATATATATTCACATAAAATGACTCTCAAACTTGGAAAAAGTTAAGATTTGACTTTTGTTCATTGGAAATTGACGATTGTGTTGTTTGCTACAGTATTGCTGTCATCAGTGGTGACCCCTTAAGTCCAAATGAAATTAAAAAATCAAAAAACACAACACAAGTTAAGACCCCTGTATACTTTGAAAGAACTGAAATTGCATAATTTCAAATAAAATCCAGCCAAAACAAAGTTAGTTTCGAGTAAACCTTTGGGGGAGTTAATTTTGCCTCCTAAACACCTTTGAGTTACTATTGGTCTGTACTAATTAAACAATTGGTGGGAGTATTCTGGAACTGACACATTTGACATGTGATTGGCTTGTACCTTATCAACGGAGTCAAGTCAGGAGAATAACATTCAACACATCTGCACCAAGTTAGCACCATGAATGCATTGGAGAGTCGAGTAGCAGAGCTGGTAAGGATGTATCTGCACCTGTATGATTGCTCTCTCGCAGAGATTTTAAAGACTCCTAAAGGGTCACACACCTGAAGCACCCTTGTGTCGTGCCACATCTTATGCAGGGCTCACACCAAATACGGAATTAAATATTAGCATTTCTTAGTTACATATAAAGCCAATGCAAATATGCAAAATGCAAATTATGTTCAAAACATAATGGTTTATTAGATTAATTAGGATTAGATAAGGGTTTTGCTCTAAATTCACATTGATAAAAATTATACAATACAAACAGTGATTTCTGTGATCTGAGACCTTCATACTGATGGGTTTGGATTCCATCGCAGCTTTCATTGGCTTATGAAATGAAAAGGAACCAATGAACCACAGTACATTTTGATCAGCACCATGCTTAGTGGTATGAAAATTGAAATAGCACTATCGTGGCTATAATACCAGAGCAATATGTAATTTCTATGCCATGAAATGACCAACTTTTAAAAATCTAGGTGTTTATCCAAAGAAACCCTCATTCACACAGTAGTTAACATGATGAATTTCCAGTTTGATGTCTTCATGGCTTTGTTTCCAAGAATGTGTCACACGTTTTCTTAAAATACTTGTGACTTCAATACATCTGAACGGTTTCCCATTTTATGTGCTTCAAGCATCAGACGTTCAGCCAACAGTCTGTGAGCATGATGTCTGAGGCTGAGTCCATATGTGAAGAAAAACACTCCATATGTTCTTTTCTTTTGAGGCTTCTAGTATACATGAATATAATTAAAAACAATTAAACCCTCTCTAAAGAAATTAGAGAAGTACATATGAGAACATCTATGGGGTTTTTTTCTTCTCTCTAAATGAGCAAACCTTTGGACTGAAAGCCCTGATGGATATTGTTTAGTAATTGGCTCAGATGTGGTGCATTTTTCTCAGTACACATTGGGCTCATTACTTCACACTAAATGTATAGATTTTGCATGCAGGCGCAGCTTCCACTGGGGCAAGGAAAGTCATGTTCCCTCCACTTTTCAAAATGGAAATAGACATTTGAAGTTGAAATGACCATTTAGAAATGAAATGGCCATCTTAAATTGGCGATGAAATGCCAAGCAGCTTCAGATTACTTTAATGTAAATATTTAATATGTTTGTTGGTTCAGTATATTAGCTCAGGTCAGAATAATCATATTTTATGTAAAACAGAATATACTACACCTGTTGATATTAGTCTAATCTTTAGAAATTTGTACTGAACAGAAATTAGCATCAAGAATGTATTTTTTCTTTAACATGGAACCCATTATTAAAGTATTGATAAACATATTCTGCAGATAATAGGTTTCATGTCCGTCTGCAATAAAATAGATCTAAATCTAGTGTTGTTTTTTTAAGTGTCATGTTTATGCAGTTATTTTCTACACACAGTATCCAGTATATTTATTAGTGTGTGTGTGTGTGTGTATGTATACATACATATATATATATATATATATATATATATGAGTTCATGTATGTAAGTGCATACATTGAGATATCCAGAGAACAGGCTTCTATTTCAGCACTGGACAGCAACTGTATGACTGCAGCATCTACATCATGTACATGTTTGTACTTCAGTGGAGGAAGTGTAACTAACATGTTAATCCCATTATAAAAAAAGTCTCTCTCTTTTTTCAGAGTCTGAGGTTGGCATGACAACAGTGAATCGTTGTTTGGATGCCGCCAAGGCCTGTAACGTTGACGAGACGTGTCAGAAGCTACGCACCGAGTATGTGTCAGCATGCATTGCTCCATCAGCACGAGCCGGGACCTGCAACCGCGCACGCTGCAGCAAAGCACTGAGAAAGTTCTTTGACCGAGTGCCACCCGACTACACGCATGAGCTACTCTTCTGTCCGTGCTCTGACACAGCGTGTGCAGAGCGCCGACGCCAGACCATTGTGCCTGCGTGCTCATTTGAGGAAAGGGAGAAACCCAATTGCCTGGTCCAGCTCCGAGCGTGTGAAGCCGACTATGTGTGCAAGTGGGTATTGTGTGTGAAAACTACTGCTATAAATACAATCAAGTTCTTTTGAAGAGCCTAAAGATTGAAGCTCTGTTCTCTGTAGCGAGCAAAAATACAAAAGTGCACCAAGTCAGTTTGACCTGCTATGAAAAAAAGTTTTAAACATAAAAATATATATATAAATGTGTTTAAAACTGTGAAACTCGCACTAGATAAATAAGCTTTATTTTATTACACAAAAACTGTTGTAAATGTCTTATGATAGAGATCATACACTTTGACTTGTCTTGCTAAATTGCACTTAGTGCTCTTTTAAGGTCAGAACAATCTTTATTCAAGTACTAAAATGCATGTTTAAATGCTTTGCTAATCCACTGCCTTGTTAAACATGCTTTGCGCAAGCTCTTGCTTTGTTTTGGCAGTAACAAACAACTCCACTCAAGGGAATGATAGAGTTACAAATGCCTTTAAACTGGATGTTGTTATTCTGACAGCTAGCTAATAAATATGATGACTTTAACTTGCAATACAAGATTCTCTGGCTGACGGCAAATACGCTGCTGTTTAAAAATGTGGGGTGAATAAGTCTCTTATGCTTAACAAAGTGTTATTTTTTTGCGTTATTGTTTGTCCAAAAATGCAGTAAATACAGTCATTTTGAAAAAATATGACCACAATTTAAAATAACTATTTTATTCGTTTATATTGTTCCCCTGATGACAAATCTGAATCTTGGAAGTACAGTAACAAGATCTTTCAGAAATCCTTTTAATTTGCTTATACCAGGGGTGTCCAAACTCAGTCCTAGAGGGTTGTTGTCCTGCAAAGTTTACATCCAACCCCAATCAGACACACCTGGGCTATCTAATCATGTACTTACTAGGCTTTCTAGAAACATCTTTGCAGTCGTGTTAAGGCAAGTTGGAGCTAAAATCTGCAGGACACATGCCCTCCAGGACCGAGTTTGGACTCCCCTGGCTTATACAGTGCTCAAAAAAACAACTAAAAACTAATTATAAACAAAATTAAAAGTGCCATATAATAAAAATGTAAACACACCTACAGTAGGCCTGGCTGAATAATAAGAGCTCCATGAAGATGACATACCGTTAGTCTCAAATGCCATTATTTTTCTCAATCACATGTAAATTCATTGTGAGGAGTGTAAAATCCTCACAATGAAAAACTCTGGTGATCCACACAGAATTATTAATATACACGTCCAGGCAGTGGTTGAATGTCTGTAATGTGTCATAGAAAAAATTGCAGTAATGATAACTTTCCCTTATATGAAAGTTTATTTAAGTATATATTAAACTTGCAATTTATGTGGGACTCTTATTTTAAAAATAGGATAGGCTTTTTAAGAGCAAGCAGTTCTGGAAAGAAGTTCAGCCGTGCATGGCCAGAAAGTCTCATCATGTCAAAATGCAAAATGTGGAATCTAAGGATGTTAAATTATTTAAGAGGCAGAAGGTCTGTTTATATTCTGTTAGTTAGTTTAGCGTGCATATTGTGAAATTTGCTGTGTATATTTGTATTGAGGCAACAAACAAATGCTGAATAGAAGTCTTTAATCCATATTTATGCATCAGTTAATCATGGATCACTCAGCTCTTGTGATTTTTCTCGATTGACAAGATACCAGTAAAACATTCTGGAGTGAAAGGACACCAGTAAAACTCATTTGTTTATGCAGAGGTTGATATTATTTCCTGTATCTGTTTTAAGATGCATAAAAACCTCAAAATACAACTCTAATTACATCTCTGTTGGTCGGTTTTATCGGGTTTAATTATAATTTAGCCTCTATTCGATGTACAATACAATGCTAGAGCAAACTAGGTTACTCCGGTGCATAAAGACTGCTCATGCTTTCCTTCTAGCTAAAATAAACCCGCTGCTACTCTAATTGTCTTTTAACAAAGGATTTACAAAATTGAAATATGGTTATTTTGTAGGCGTTGTCAGGGTTCTACCTCTCTGGTCTTGTAAATTCTTGTTTTGGTGGCAGAGTCCGGACACTAGCTCTGTCTTTTCCGTCTTGTCCTGTTTCTGTCATTGTGTGCGTGTTATGAGCGCCAATTGTGAACTTTGTGCGTTCCCACTTGATGTGGGCGCGTGAGGTCTATGCGTGTTTGCAATTGCGCGCTCCCGTCTGGATGTTCACGTTCGTCTGTCTGCAGCATGGTTTTTTATTCCCAGCGCCTTAGTCTAGTTGGTTTCGGTTCCGGTCGGCGCTGGGATGAAACATGCACGCTGCTTGTGTGAGTGCACGGTGAGTCTTTTCAATCGTCGTGTACTCGTGTCACGCATTCAGTCTTCTGTTGGTGTTGTGTTTGGCACGTGGTGTATGTTTACATGCACTGCGTACTTGTGTTGTCATGAACACGCGGTTAACGAGTTCTCTCATGGCTGCATGTTCTAGTCTCGTTTTATGTGAGTGCATGGCTTGTGTTGTCTCTTTGTGTCATGTGCTCTCCCATATATTGTCTAGTCCCACCCTCCTTGTTAACCCATTATTAGCTGTCGGAAATATACTGTAAAATTATATATTTTTGTTTACATCTGTTCAGTAATAGATCATAACCAGTTAAATTGTGGTAGTTTATTATGGCGAGGGAAGAGACCACGAGTAATTAAAACACTGTAAAACACATTACAACTCTCTCTCACTGTGGCTGATTTTACCTTTTGGCGTGAGGTAATGTTAAAACGTTTCCTCTCCTCTTGACTGTTACAGTGTTACTTCTGTAAGAAGCGTGTGTCTGCAGAGCGAGTTTTCTCCTCTATGTCTATTATGGATCAGCTTTGATCGCCGTTGCCGTTTATCAGTGTCTTGCATCAATAAACAGTACCAGAGCGTTAAAGCCAATCGCAGCCCTATCTGTTGAGCATGTGACCGATAGTAAGTGTGTAAGAATTCACTGTACAAGGCTCATAAAGCGAGCGGGATATTTACATGTGTTTATTTGCTATAAATGCTCATGTTGTTTTATGCATGTACCTGTATATTGCTTTTATTAAAGAACAAAATTGTATCACAAATAATATATAAATGTATTTGTAGCGTTCAGATGCAAAAGGCAAAAATCGCCATTTCCGCCAAAAATTAGCTAATAACATTGAGCGAATACTTTAGGCACGTAGTACATGTTTAACAAATAGTTTTGCTTCAAATCATCTACAACTGCAGCGTCTGCCAATTCAGAAATAATGGTTTGTTGGCAAAAGCTTCTAAACGCCACTTGCCTTTACACCAAAGGCCTCTATGTCTTGAGAACCAATCAAAAGGCGCGAATCAAATCACATGTTTTCAATGTAACAGCACACTGACACTGGCGTATTTTATAGGGAGACTGTTTTATTTCACACCTGATTTATATTTTAAAAGATGGAGTTTAATGAATTGGATGAGAAGTGTGGCACTGGTTTTGACGCAAAAGAAAATCTACCTTGTTAAAAACTAAAAAAATTGTCTAAAGTACATTTTAAAAAAATTTTAAAAAGTTCTTTTATTTACAAGCTAATAACCTTATCATTACATATAAAATGAATCTTCTGAACCTAATCAGAGGAGCCTGAAAGAAAATGCTCATTTACAAGAAAAGAGATCTGATGGATTCAGAGGGTTTTGCATCTGAACTCTTCATTTATACTTTTTAATAGAAGAATTATTGTGCTGTGAAGCAAAATATAAAGTTGTTTATGGAAAGCATCATCAATGCACCGTGATGCTCTGAGATATTGAACTAAATCGATGGCATGATAATTATTACCGAACTGTGAGACCAGTGTAGGTTTACATCTCTACTATTTTGCATGCATGTATTTCAGACATGTGTGTGAATGTCAGGCATTGACACAAACTATGGAGCATTAATATTAATATCCACAACTTTTTCAAGTATGGTCAAAATCCACTTCCATATAAAGGCCAATTCCTAGATTTTGGAAACAGACTTGTAAATCAGTTTTTGGTGAGTTTCTGCACTTTCCTAAGCCACATATCTTTTATTTAAAAATCAGAAAACAATTTAACATGAATTATTAATATGTAATAACACATTTTATGGCACCTTTAAACTTGGATTTCTAGTAGACTGCACACCCTAAACAATAATAAAAGTACTTACTCACACTTCATTTGTTCAATATGGACAAATTGAGAGATTTAGACACATTGAGTCCTATCATGTGTATGCCAGCTGCGTTCACTCTGAGAGGCTCTCACTGCAGTTTGAGTGGTCATTTTTGAGCCTCTCTCTTTTCGCATCACAAACACAAAGACCTTCATCGCTCTCTGCTATCGGTCAACCATCATGCTCCACACACGCCAAGCAAACACTCTGCTGACACAATACATTACACAAGATGAGATCACTTACAGCCACAACAGCCAGTTAACATAAGGAATCAGCTGGGAATGTGAGTAATTCCTCTGAGACTGACTTGGTTAAATGATTGATTGGTGACCAGAAAGACTGGCTGAATGTGACCTGCATGTAAATGACCCAGACCAGTTGCTGCCCCTCTGTCTGAGTATCTGGCAGTTCTCCAGAACTCTGTATTGCAGTCATGTCTCTGCTTAAAATTAAAGAAAAACGAATGGATTAGGACTGTATATGAAGGGGGATAAGGGAGAAAATGATAAAGAGTGGACCGGAGTGCATTGGTGGAAAGCTAAAGAGAGGACAAAACAATAGCAGAATATGCAGCTCCATCTATATGTATAGTGGCAGGTAGCATACAAGCAAGTGTTTGAGTGAATTTGTGCTTCTGAGGGTTTGCTGACTGGCTACATGATGGATGTGCTGTTGTGGTTCCCTCAGGTCTCGCTGGGCTCAGTTCCAGCACGACTGCCAACCCTCCGAGCTCACTGCCAGCGGCTGCCAGCAAGAAAATTACGGAGCCTGCCTTATTGCATACACCGGCCTGATAGGTGAGAACTTTGGGCAACGTAGTCCAACCTGGCTTATCACATACACAAGTCAGACAGCTTAGAATTGTGGGCATTGCAATTTGATCACGTTTTGCACTGATAGGTGGAATTCTGACAAATGGAAAACCACTGTGACACATAAGCTTGAGGGTTATTTTTAATGATCAACTATGCATATGGTGCGAACAGTGAAAGATTAATCTTAAAGTGTCATTCAACCCCAGAATTAATTTGTGACTCGCTTACCCACTGTCATTATAAGTTTATAATAAATATATTTTTGATAACACTATTTTGATGGTCCATTTGATTATTAGTAGACTGTCTGCTTAACCCTCTACAGCATAGATTTGCCCTCAGGCAACAGAAAGTTTTCTTAAGGCTTGTGCTAAGCACAGATTTCTTCAAATGATGAACCAATTAAAATGTCAGAAAAAGTATCAATAAAAAAATCCAATAAGGTGTTTGAGTCACTACCTAACACCATTTGAAGGTGGAACTTCCTTTTCTGACTCATGGTGACAGGAGCACATGGTATGAGAAGAAATTAAAATTATTTGCTTAATTAACCTCATTTCAAGTAACATAAACTGTACAAAAAATGTGTGTATTTGTGAAGTTGTGAAGAAGCTTTTTGTAAGGTTTTATGAAGTTTTTATTTTATTGTACATGTTCAGAAATTCAGTTTTTCTTTTCATTGCCTTAACATTGTGCTATAAGTGGTACTTTTCAAGAAGTGTTTACTGACATTAAATGTGGGCATTTTCACATATTATCATTATTACATATTGTATTATTTTTCATTTAATTTTAGTTTTTTACATATTTTCTAAAAGAATTATGGATGTAAGCTTGTTTTATGGAAGTAAAGAGCGAATTAAAGTTGAGATAGACTGCAGTGACAGTGAGGAGAACAAAGTTTGAGCAGAAGTGTAAAAAATATCTTCAGAAGTTCAAAAAGTAGCGCTGATTAACATTTATAAGTGATCAGTTTACACAGCAGGTAGCACACAAAATAGGGGTCAAATATATAAACCAGTATCAAACCACTATATACAGTGTGCAGATTTCTCATTCAAATTAATATTAGATCTAGGGCTAATTTAACAAAATTATTTATGATAATGGTCCAAAATTAATACGCCCTAATTGATATGTTAGAGAAAAATATTGAACAAAAAATGTAAAAGAGTAAATTCAACATAAATAAAAACAATATATAAAATAGGCGAAGCAGTGGCGCAGTAGGTAGTGCTGTCGCCTCACAGCAAGAAGGTCGCTGGTTTGAACCTCAGCTCAGTTGGCGTTTCTGTGTGGAGTTTGCATGTTCTCCCTGCGCTCGCATGGGTTTCCTCCGGGTTCTCCGGTTTCCCCTACAGTCCAAAGATATGCGGTACAGGTGAATTGGGTAGGCTAAATTGTTCGTAGTGTATGTGTGTGTGTGGATGTTTTCCAGAGATGGCTTGCGGCTAGAAGGGCATCCGCTGCGTAAAAACGTGCTGGATAAGTTGGCGGTTCATTCCGCTGTGGTTAATAAAGGGACTAAGCCGACAAGAAAATGACTGAATGAATATATGAAATTTAGTTTAAATTTTGTAGTTTGTTATTTTTTTCCCAATATTTCGTATTAATTTAATTGCATTATTAATCTGTTTTGTTCAAATGCACCAAAATATATGACCTATGACCACTGAGTACTATACTCAGTACTCAGTGTACTCAGTTATGCTGAGCACTGTATATGCTCTAGTTGTTCTTCCCAATTTAATTAATGATTCTGTTACAATTTGAATAAGATTTGTAAATTATTACTGCTCTCTGATCACTGACTCATGATATTTAATATAGAATATGTGAGGAATTTTCTTTGCGATTGTGTACCATTGTTACTTAACAAAAAATATTTGGGGTTGGGGGTCAAACCAAAAACAACTTTTAACATTAAAATGTTTCCAAAAAAAGCAAAAAAAAAATCATGTGGAATAATTTTTGTCATGTACTGTACCATTAAAATGTGCAGTAGAGGGTTAATATCTGTTGATATGCTCCTTCAACAGACTTTTAACTGACTATAAGAAACTTTGCAAGTACACTAACTCTAACCCCTACCTACGAATCTTCTTATAATCTAATGAAAATTTGTTGCAATTTAAATTCAACAAACGGACCATCAAAATAAAGTGTGGCCATATTTTCTTTAGTACTCTTGTAGCATATACCTTTCAAGGTCAGGCGCACAACTTTGAATCACAAGGTCTCCTTTCCTGCAGATTTTAGCCCCAGTCATGATTAAATCCATCTGCTTGATTAAGGTAGGAACTAATCTCTGCAGGAAAGCTGATCTTGAGAATCAGATGTAGCCTTTGAAAGAATACTGCCCTAGTGACCGCTTTTGTACCTTTTTCCCTGTAGGTGACCAATCCTGTTCTTGAAGATCTATCCTTCCTGCTGAGTTTGGTGCCAACCCTTCTTTAACAAACCTTTCTGCAATAATTTAATGTTCCTGAAGATTTTAATTAGGTGGTTTAGACACTTAGAGATTAGGGTTGGAGCTAAACATTGCAGGAAGGCAGATCTCCAGAAGTAGAACTGAGCTTCTCTGCTGTACAATTAAATCAACATTGGGGGGAACTAAGCTTGTAAGTCAGAGGTATGCAATATTAGGTGTGTATTTGGTGCACTCACTCTTGGAATAAAAATGTGCTATATAATCTGTCACTGGAGACAGTACCCTTTAAAAAGCTACCTTAATGAAATAAAAAAATATTCCCTTGGGGATGAATGAAGTAAAAAAGAGTACATTTTGAAATTGTGTCACCCCAACTTTTGTAACTTTTTTCCCCATGATGCAACAGAAAATCTAATAAACTTGGTTTAAATACAGGGTGTCCACGGGGTCTTAAAATGTATTAAAAGTTGATAAATCCATTTAGAGAAATTGAAGGCCCTTAAAAAGTATATATAAACAGTCTTAAATGCTAGTTGTATGCTAAAGATTGCCTGAATTTAATCTGCCAATGGTATGCTGGGTAGTTTATAAAATCCTGCTAGATTTCACATCACACTGCTTATTATTCTTGTTATTCCTGCTGTGCTAGCTGAATTCACACTTTCATTCAGTAAATAAATAGTGTTTTAGTTCAGGATTAGTTTCTTAAAATCAGTATTTAGTTAATATATTGTGAGTTACAACACAGGGTCATTTTGAAAAAGTACCCCAGTATACATTTCTGGAGAGCGTGAATCACGTGGACTGCTTTTCCGCTGTTACTAGTTTGCCCAGTAGCTCGACTTGAAAACTTGAAACAGAGAAGAGTTCATGGTGACAACAGGGTTCGAGACCAGCGCAGAACGGTTCCAGAAAACAGATAACATAAAAACAAAAGGTAAAAAATAATGTAACACCTAGTTTGTTAAAGGGGTTAAAGACAATAAAGACGATAGACTTTCGTATAAATAACCTTTATTAATTACGCAAAAAGGGATATCAAACAATTAACTATGGCCCAGTTTACACTGTCAGGTCTTGATACCCTATCCCGATTTGTTGACTATATCTGATATGTTTGCCTGTCTGTTTACACGTTGTTTTAATTGTGACCCATATCCAATTCATGCGTTTACACTTGCCATACAATTTACAATGTCGCACATGCATAAAGGCAGGTTCTAGCATTTGTGCCACACTAGCCATGATGGAAGAAATTGTCTTGCTTTTAGCCCTGCGAAATATGCGAAGTGTAGTATAAGCAGTGAATGGTTTAGTCCAGATTTACCCCCATGCAGTTTATGTAATGGTATGGCCCTGATGTGCGTTTGTAGTTGAAGATGTAGCCTTTGCCTGTATGCGCACTGGTGTTGGAGAGAATAAAGATATTCTTTGTGTAGCCCGCAGTGCGTGTATTAATAGCGACAAAAAACAAAAGTTACAACACTAAGTTTGCCCAACTTTAAAATAATTTTGAGGGGGAGGTGGGGAAGGGCCGTCATCGCAGCTTGCGCTCATGGTTTTTATGCTTTATGATGTCCTCCACCATTCAAAGAAATTTACTTAAAATACTTTGAGAGAGATCTCAGGTCTGGTGGGAGCAAATTGTGGCGACTAACCACTTTCCTTCTCTGTGTTTCCTCTGATGTTGTTTACCGCGTCGGCATCTCCACACACGCTCTTATTTCTGTCATTGAACCACTGAGAAGCACCACATTGTCGCAAGTTTAGTGATGTACAATACGGAATGCCTCAATATATCCGATCTGCCTGTTTACATGACAGTCGCATTGTCACATATCCAATCTGTATATGATTTATTTCCAGAGGCCTGAAACCGATCTCTGAATATCCGAATGCATGCGTTTTTATTTGTTTACACGGTCATAGAACAGATCCGATCTGTTTCACATATGAGCAAAAAAATCGGAATTGAGTCACATTTATCTGGCAGTGTAAACGGGGCCTAAGAAAACCACTTTGGTATCAGGTGAGCAGACTAATCCACAAGGATTTTTTATCAGGTGCAAGCGTGCAATACTCTCAAGGCAATTTGGCTCGTACCCCACTCTTAAATAATGTGCAGAAATGCAATACATTAATCCTCAACATTCCTTATATAGTGACTCAAAACAATGACATAAGCCAACTCCTGGACACAGCTACAATAACTGTTACCCAACATTAGCACCTGCAGGTATCCTTGACTGCACATCCTCAAAGAAAATTGACGCTGCCCAACTTTTCCTAATTTGTCTGCATTGTCTGCTCAGTATTGTCTGCTTGGCGTGCACGCCATGCTTCCTCCTCACAACTGCCGCTCCATTCATAAAGACAGCGTATGACCAGAATTTACCGGATTTCCCCTATCTTGCACCATTATTGTAAATACTACAAAATTTACAATAAAATAAACAAGTAAATAACAGGGTGAGAATGTGGTAAGATCTGAAAACGTGGTAAAAATCAGACGGCCGCAAAGGCTTTTTTTTTCTGGAAAACACTGTTGGTT